TCTATTGTCGGAATTTTGACTTCCAAACTTCCTTCGATTAGATGGTTAATGGTAAATGGTCAATGGTTTTACCCATCGCCATCCCCAATGACTATTAACCTAATAATTAATGTCCATATTATATCATACTTGTATCTAATGGCCAATGGTCAATAATCACTGGATATACTGTGGGATCCACCCAATGCCATGTTTACCTAATCTTTAAATCATGTCAAATCAATAGATTTGGTTCAAATCATGGTATTTGAGTTTGCATCAACAGTGACTGGCACAAGTGGTTGGAGATTTCAATGTGAATCATTCGCAAATGGGTCCCATAAAATTTATATTGGTTTATATTTGCTTAGCAAATCAAAACAACTTGCAACTTTGGGATATGTTAGGGATTTTTAGGGTATACCCCATTTTCAGACTGCTAAACCGAAATAATTTTGGCCACCCAATAATAAACCATAATAAACCTAGCATTTGGGGATGGTTTAAACCACCGATAAAAATGGTGATGACTTGCGGATGGATTCAAGGCACAGATACGCAGATTTGGCATGTAATGTGAGATGAGTGAAAACCTTTAATGTGTTTTTTATGTAGCAGCTATTCTTATCTACGGCCGCAAAGGACAACCCTGCAAAGCGCCTCGCATCCTGACAAAAACTTGTGACACGGCACTAGGTCCCAAGCCCCTTCGAAAGACATCGTTTGGCAACATCTCTGTGTGCATCCACACCTCGACTGGAGAAAGCCAGATTCTGTAGGTCACCTGTGAGGAATTTCATGGAATTTCATGCAAAATATTCTGGAACGCGAGGATCTGACAGTTTTAGGGAACCACCAGTGTTTTGCGATGTGGTGCTTCTGCGCACATCAATGTGGCACGGGCAGTGAATTTAGCTGGGACAAATTGGGACAATCAGTGAAAACTGGCACATCAGTCCCCACAGCAAAAAAAAACAGCAAGCTATTTCTTACCAAGATATCCATCCATCTGTCCACAATAGAAATCAATAGAAGTGAGGATTGCTAAGGTCACAGCAGCCCATGCCAAGGGCGATTTCTCTCACCACCGGCACTTTGAACAGCACTCCAGCCTGAAAATGTGGCTGGAGTATGATGGCATGGTGATGGGTAGATCTTCAACTGGACGCATCGTCAGCTCAAAAATAAAGATTGATGTCGGTCCCTGAATTGATGATTACCCTCTGGTAAACTAACATAACTATGGAAAATCACCATTTTTTATGGGAAAACTCACTATAAATGGCCATTTTCAATAGCTATGTTAAATTACCAGAGGGTAATATTCGCCCCTTGAGGATCGCTGGGTCCACTGCACTGAGCGCACATCGTCGTCGTGCAGGGAGGGCTTTCTCTAGATCTGGATGGAAGCCCTGTGCCGTTGTCAAGAAGATTGTGGGAGATACAACAGGAAAAAACGGTAACCCCAATAAGAAACCATCCCGAAATCAGACTGCATCATGCCACACCCACATACCCTGCTGCGACTTGGTGAAACATGCAGAGATGACAGAGATTACCAAATAGTGTCCCAGCGAGAGCACGCCATGTGGATGAACGGCAACCTGAGAGCTTTCCGACACACCGTTGGCATCTGACACGTGCGGTCGTGAGCAGTCAATGTTCGTTGATTACGAGGTCTCACCATGTTGGATTCTAAGAAGCCTCTTTTTGCCCAATAGACTAATAGATAATAGATGATAGATATAATAGATGATAATAGACTTCTCAATTTTCTGATCATTTCCGATCGTTTGATGTCTTGATGAATCCTTTCTGGGTCACTGCAATTTGAGACCGAAACGATACACTGGTCGCATTTCCGGAGCTCCTTCAAAAACAAGTCTTCGATGATGACGTTTTCCCATGTCATTCATCGATGGACCGAAGCAAAGGCAACGGGCTAGGCACAGGAGGGCACCTCAATGTCAACTTTGCAGTCAATGTCAAAGAAGACGGGCAAAACCTCGGCTTTGGGCCTTTTGGTGGATAGATGTCACAAAACCTGCAGAGTGGGATGGATCATTGTAAGTTGTATGTAATTGTAGTATATGTCTTTCATCATGTTTTAACCCAGTCATACCCAATCCAATTTTTACCCATACCTTCCCCATACCAACTTGTGAATCATGATGCGCAATGATCTGGCAAGGCTTGAAGAGAGAAACTCCTGACGCGATGCTCGGGCTCTAGCCACGTGCCAGAAACGTTGCACCAGCGCCAAGAGAGACAAACTGCGACCTCGTTGAAAGACGGCACCAAAAAAGTAAAAGTCTACTTAGTCAGTCTACTTAGTCTACTGGAAATATGAATGGGGCACTAACGCCCGCACTAACTGGCCGTTTGGGCCAACCAAAAAAGCAAAATTATAGCCAATTGATTAGCGGGGTTGTATCTTAGTCATTCTCGGGCCCGTGCGACTGTCAGGCCTTCGTTCGTCGCCGTTCAGAAGGCTCAGCAGGTATCCCAACAGGAAGCCTTCCAAAAGTTGGTTGAAGTTGAACATGTTCGAGGCACCCAAAATGCAAAAATGCCTGTCCCCTACAGTACCAGCCTAGCATATCCTATGTTCCATGCGCTACTCTTGTGTTCCATGCGCTGCTCTTGCAGTATGACATACTACAAATATATACAAGTATGACAAATCTCCCTCTCTGAGCTCATGTCTGCATGTCAATCTGCCAATCAAGGTTGATGGCCATCGCAGCCTTAATCAATGAATTTCATGAAAATATCGGAATCCGAGTGTATTCCACGGAGATCTTCGGATGAATGGGAGCAAACCAATCAAATATCCATTCAGTGCAAGATTCGGATGTTTTGGGATTGGTTCAAAAAGATGTAAACACTCTATATCATGATCTGAATATATATGATATTATATATACATAATATATATATATATACATAATATATATAATATATTATATATAATATGTAATTATATATAATATAATATATTATATAATTATATATAAAATAATATATATATATATAAATATACATATCATTTTTAAACTAATTTTCCCGACTCAGAACTCTGAGGGTTTTACAGGTGCAACACCGCAAATGCTGCAGCACTTGCTGCGGAGCTGCGCAGGAATACAATTTGTTTTCCAGCCTTGCAATGAATCGACACTGGGTGCAACCAACATCAGTATGCATCAGTCAGTCACGCTGGGCCATTCTAGGCATTGCACAGTCAAGAAATTGGAGATAAACCGATAAACCAAGCCCCTGGCAGAATCTGGCGCAGGACCCGCCATTGGCTTTTTTCAGGTACGGAGCATGCATGTACTTCACATTGAATTCAATATAGGATCAATATAGGAAACTGATGCAACTGCACTTGCTCTTACAGAATATTCGCATATTTTTAGAGACACAGCCGGCTGGCGTGTGCTTGCATGCATTTATCAGCCGTAACTTGACAATGGATGTTAAATCTGCATAGGCCTAAAGCATGCCTGCCAAACTTTACCCACACATGTTATCCACTATCATTGCTTGTCATTGCACTTGCTCAGGAGCCAAGTTGTGGGCTCAAAACAAAACTGACGTGAATGCGTGAATGTGTGTTTTTGTTTAAGTTTGGGTGCCTCAGAGAAACTTGCACTACCGATTGCCATCCTACCCTGGCTCACTTCCAGATAACCTTCCGCCCTGCCAGTTCGTTACTTTAATCTGCCACCGCTCTAGAGGCTGAAATACATCTGCGAGTCATGTTGGTTGCTGAATCGAAGACACAAAGGTTCATTCAATTGTCTCAAGAAACGCTTTTCTTGGCAAATTTTCCTAGTTCAGAGTTAGCAGCCTGTCTGTCTCTTGCAGCTTAGAAAAGTCAAACACCGACTACCTATGGTTCCCTTACGACATCCTTGAGCTACCTTCACAGCTTCAGTCGCACCTTGAAGAACTTCATTTTTGGCGATTCGAATGGCTCTGCACTTTCAGGGCTAAGTGGCTAAGCGCTTGCGGAAGCAAGCAGCGGAGTCTGCATGTTTGCCCACTTAGTCCCCGTCCCAGCAACAGCATTCAAGTTGCAACACCGCGAATATACTGACATGATCTGACGTGCAGTTTCGAAGGAACTGCCAACATAACAATGGAAAGTGATAAGTTACAGGACATGACAACGCGCGATAATATCATATCATTGATGTGATTTACAAAATGGCCTAACAGGTATGGCAGAAGCTACAGCCACTGTCAGGGTGGTGGTTCTTGATCACGCAGCAGCTAGAACAAGGAACAATCGATCGTCACACCACCTGCCCAAGCACCACACTGTCAGACTCATCTACATCCCGCCCATAAACGGCTTGGGCACCTGACAAAGCTTGTCGGCTTGGTCATCATGATACAACTCTGAATCAATGTAAAAAATAAGCACTTGCCAGCTCCTGAAGTGTACTGCAGGCACCTAGGACTCTTTCATGCGTCGAAATCTTTATGAAGTTCTTTGTTATTCTTTGTCGATAAATATAAGGTCTAGTATGATCTCTTAGAGCATAGTAGAACATAGTACAGCGCAACAAGCACACACGCTTGCAGCCACAGCAGAGCAGCGCAGCACACTTTTGAAACGATTGGCTCGGAGCAGGGGGAAGAAGCTATTTCCGAGCTTGCATGTATGGAGATCTCCAAGTGATGTAAGCTAAAACTGAAATTCAACAATCAGAGCTCTCCAGAAGTTTGTCACAAATCCTTCAGAGCTTGCCTGAACGCGATTTCAGAAACACAGCCACTACAACAGGAGAGCTGGCAACAAAAATGGAACTCAAGGCTACTGCATATGCGGACCATGGTGTCTGTTCCTGCGGGTTGTTCACTCCGATCACGTCAGCAGCGCAGGCACCAAAGACACTGTAGATCCAACGCCCAACCACAAAAATCGATTGGTAGGTCGCTGGCAAATACTTCGTCAGAGCCTCTGGCACAAAGTGATCCAGAACCCAGCTGCTGTGTGCGCTGGCTGCAACACCATTCACCACGATGTTTCCGGAGAGCGTGTATGGATTGAAGAGCCCTTGTTTCGGCACCATGCGGTTCAAAAGCACTCGGCCCAGCTTCAGCTCGGTGGCGCCAGCACTCGCAGTCCAAACCTCGGCGACGGCTTCAGCCGGTGACGGGATGTGCTCGGGTGTCGGGCAAAACGGCATTGACATGGTGTAAGATCGTGTAGTGTACTTGTTCACTAATGTTTTGGGAATGTAGAATTTCATCCTATGATGGGCTACATTTTGGCTCAAGTTGACATTCCCTGCTTGAAGGGATTTTGGTTTTTATTTTCAGTTTTGTTTGCGTTCATGCATGTTTTCAGCTTCACATGTATTCAACATTTCATTTGTTTCATTCGCGTTTTTATAGGGCATTTGCTCATACAACAGACTGGCAGATCAAATTCAATTTTTTTGTTTTTCAACTGCTTTCATTCATCTCCGGCCGGACCCGGGCGCACATGGTGAGCCATCTGTGGTGGGCTCTAGTCTTCATCACTGCCTGTGACAGTTGTCAGATTTCTTGCAATTCAGATTTCAGTGATTCAGCTTTTTTCGGGGACCTGGTTCGACATCGTTTTGAGTTCAGCGCAGACCTTAGTACATCATTTTCTGAACTTTTCATTGCGCAGATGGATGTGGACATCGATGACTGGATTTTGATTTCCAACCCATGTCCCAAGAGTCGACCAGCACCTAAACCAGTTCCCGGTTTTCATTCTCGTCATGCTGCCAGTCTGTCACAGCCACTGTCAAAAGGGGGCAAAGAGGTTCCCAAATTCGAACGGCCGAATCCTTACCCAGTTTTGCAGTCGCCTAGGCGTTCAAATGACGTGACAGTTTCTGGCATACATGATATTTCAAGTGTAGATGTCAAAATGTCCAAACCTGTGATTTTGCCGGCGCAAGCACCCCGTGGTTCGTCAGCGCCTCAAAGACCTCGTGTTCAAGGTATTTCAATTGATCTGCAACGCCGTTGGATAGCACTGGTCCACAGCATTGGCAATTTGTCACAAGTTTGGAGTGACTTTCAGGGTTCAACTCATTTTGACTCACATTGCCTTCGTTTGCTTGACAAATTTTCGAATTCCACAATGTTCAAGTACATTGGTACATTGCAGTGTGTCCACAACATTTTACTGGAGTTCTCATTGACCTGGCAGGCCATCGGGACATACAAATTGTCCGATTTGCTGCAAATCACGCACGAGGGGCGCCAGACAGATTGGGGATTTGGCGCATCAGCAGCCATCAAGGCACTGCGTTGGTTACAGAAGACATTACAAATTCCTGCTTGGAGTACGTTGCAGTTGTCAATTCATTTTTAACTCCAAAAATTCATGAACGTAAGGAAGCCATTCCTTTGAGCCTATTCATCGTCACACAGTGGGAAAGACGATTACTGATGAAGGACTGTCCTTTACAGGATCAAGTCGTTCTGGGTGGCTTCCTTTGTATGCTGTGGGCAGGCCTGAGATTCTCAGATGGACAACGTATCAACTTGCAATCATTATCATGGTGCATCACAGCACTTCGTGGCTCATGCTTTCAGACCAAAACAACCAAATCCGGCCAACCTTGGGCCCTGCAGGCGAGGGGTTTCCTGTCTCGAGGCGACTGGTCATGGACAGCTCAGTGGTTGGTAGCGCTGGATACCATTTGGGGACCGATGCACAACGCTCAGACTGCCTGTGATTTTTTACTTCCCATGACATTGGACACTGGATTTGTGCAGCCTATGATTCCCATGAGTTACTCTCAAGCATTGAAGTGGATGCGATTTATGTGTACACTGCCCTGGAAACTTTCAGACACACCAATGTCTGCCAATCCAAATGATTATACGTTGCATTCATTAAAGACAACTACTTTGTCCTGGTCCAATCAGTTGGCCCAGCAGGGCCTCGTGACGGAGGAGCAGCGACACCTCCAAGGCCACCATCGACGTGGCAGCATGCGCCTTTACAGCCGGGACGACACTGCCGGCCAGCTGGCACTGCAGGACACGCTCATCACCCAAGTGCAATCTGGATATCGGTTTGTGACACCGTTGCATCGTGGATCACAGCAACCGATCCGAGAACCCCCAGTCAAATTAGAAAGCTTTGCCAAGTCATACCAAGAGCACAGATGGACATTTTTTCCATTCAACAACGCTGTCAAAGACCCTCTTTTGAAAGGGCAACCAACAGCACCTGCCACCATTGACTCAGGGGACGAGATCACGGTGGAAAGCGATTCATCATCATCCTCCTCATCATCGAGCTCATCAGATTCACCTCGGAAAGTATCAGACAACACGACCCTGTTTGGACCTCCAGATGAACTGGTTGTTGCCCGCTTTACAAAAATTCAACACATCATGCTTCACTGTGATGATCAACAACAGCCGGTTTGGGAAGGTGTACATTATAGGGCAGCTTGTGGGGCTCGTTTACCTCGAGACCATTGTCATTTTGACAATCAGCTCCAACCATCTTACAGCATTTGTCGACATGCAGCCTGCTGCAACCGTTGGCAACAAGTGTCAACCGAGACTTAACGAATACTTTACTTCACTGCGGGGCGCCGAGCTTGTAGAAATGTGTATTTGTTTGAGCAGCCGTTTTCTCCACATACTCAATTAAAGAGTGATGTATCATATTTTGTTGTCAAAATGGGTTTTTTATAAACAGACAAGACGTGAAGATATCAGATATTTGTACGCATCGTTGCGATGAACTTCACTTGACTTTACAGTATTTTACAGTCACATTTGGCCGACATTCACTTGGAAGGCAGCGGATCTAATTTCTATGCAGATGTGGCTCCAGGCTCCGACATCGATTCATCCAAGGCACGTGACATTGGATCAAACTTAAAATTTTTTTTACCTGCTCATTTATTTGCTCAAGGGAAATCAACATAATTTGGGTTCCAAATTTTTGATTAAAAAAAGGGAACCCAAATTTCGGGCTGAGTGTTATAACACGTGGTAAGAGTGTGCATCAACCAAGTTAAAACTTTGTTCACTGTGTTTTCAACTTTTCAGCAGAAGTGCGTGCATCCATTTGCATTAGATTGGCTTTTTGCCATCGCGTCGGCCTCGGGTCACTGTAGGTCCACACAACCTTTCAAACTTATTAGCAGATTTTCATTCCCCACAAGCAGTTCATATCCCTCACATGAATTGTTGATCACATGATGAGGACTTATACCAATCCAAATGAATACACTGCTCACGTGTTCAATCATAATGCAGTTATGAATCAGATTTTTTCTGTTGATGCTTCATCCAATGCGTTTGGCGTAGTCTCCCGTGGAGACCACATGGCTTCACCTGCGTTTGAAGACGTTTTGTCTGAATGTGGGGTTGACCCAACACTGGCTTCGCAGTTGGTGCAGGAGGGATGGACATCCCAAAATTTCGCAATGGTAGTTAATTCCAAAGAAGAGTTCAATGAAGGCATTTGGGACCAGTTATGCAATTCACCAATTTCTTTGGTGCAGCGTTCAAACCTGAAAGTGGCTTGGCAACAGTTGCAACCTGACTCTACTAGCACCAGTCGGGAATCCAACATTGCTGGCATACCGACAGCATCAGCTCCTGAAGGATCGTGGTCTGAATCTTTTGCCCCCAAACTTCAGGCGAACACAGTTTCGAAGTTGAAGAAACAATTTTTGGAAGACTATCCATCGGAAGTCCTTAGCCCAGACACAATGCCAAGTTCTCGATTGCTTTCGATGGCGTTTCAGCATCATAGCAAACGTGAATATCCATGGATCCCTTGGCGTTATCGAATGTCACAATCCAAAATGGATGACATGGTGATTACCACAGGCCCAAAGTCCCCCGCATTGAGGGTCTTCAATTACACCAGTTGTTGCTGGACGAGCCTCCGGCATTGGACATCAACAACACTGGGATGGGAGTGAACGCGATCCGCAATATGATGGATATCCACAACACTGCGATGGCGTTGGTGGGATCATGTCACCTCCAACGATTACGGGCATACTCCCTACGTTTCATGAGCTTTTTGACCCAGCGTTTAGACGGCGATTCTGGACTCCGGACGCCGAACGTACTGGAGGCACAGGCAGCAGAGAAGCAACTGTGGAATCTGATTCACGAGTTGGTCTTGGATCAAGGATTTACATTGGACAACGCCTTGCATGAAGTGACTCACCTGAGGGCGGACATGGCCTCACTGTTGCAGCCACGAGCCAAGGTCACCTCACGACCTACGGGTTCGACCTCATCATCAGCTTCCACCACCACAGCCCCCAAGGGCAAGAGTAAAGGAAAAGGGAAATCCAAATCCCTTGGCAAGAACACCAAAGGCGGGGCTCAAGGACGACCGACCTGGGTGACAGAAGCCCTGATTCAGGGCAAGAAGCAGCAACTCTGTATGCAATTCCAATCTGGTCGCTGTCAGAAGGGTGACCTCTGCAAGTTTGGCCACTTCTGTGCCTATCCGCTTGCTTCTGGACAAGCTTGCGGCCAAGCCCATAGCGCATTTGCTCATCAACAGCAACCCCACTGACTTACGGTTTCCGATTCACTGACCACGGAGACCAGCATGGATATCAGCGATGACAAGGAGGGCGAAATTTTTTCACCCCCAACCATATCACCATCTCCTCAAGCCCAAGCTTTGGAGACTGTTTCACATCCCGAGGAGGTTATCCCACCATCTGTTTCAAACAATGTGGATTTCTCCTATTTACAAGGTTCTCGAATTTTTCTGGACCTATGCTCTGGAGCAGGACATCCTCTGACATCAGCGATGCTGCAGCGTAATTGCATTTGCTTCCCAGTTGACAAATTGATGTACAGCCGTCTCAAATTGAAGCCTCATGGACCACCAGCATTGAGGACACCTGAGTTTATGCAAGGCCTTCCTGGCCTCACTCCAGCCCAACTTGACCGAGTCCAAGCGAGCTATGAACTGATGACCAGATGCGTTTTGTGCTTGGAATTGGTTTACTCTGCAGGTGGACATGTCCACCTCGAACAACCGACGAACTCTATGGCGTGGCTGGAGGCGGAGGTTCGGCGATTCATAAAATTTTGTGCTATATTTTTGGTAAATTTTCCTGCTTGTGCTTTCTCACGGAATTGGAATAAGAGTTGGTTGTTGGCATGTTCATATCCAGCTTTAAAATCATTAGGATCCATTTGCAATCACCCCAAAGACTCCCATGAACCCATTTCTGGCGTTCGACATGCGGATGGAACCTTTAAGAGCCGGGATACTGCTGAATACCCGGAACCAATGTGTGCGGCGATTGCCAACTTGATCGCACCACTCTGCGCTTCTGACACTGGTCAACAACTGACTTGGACAACAGTACAACAATGCATCCCTGTGAAGGGTTCTTGTGATTTTCCAGTGAGTTATGAAGATGGTGGTGGCTTCAACTCTGAACCCGATTGGAGTCGTCCACATCGGGCCACTCCTGATAGCTTGAAGCAACTTCGACAAGACTGGGTCCAATTGATCCTTCACAATGGGATGCTGGACAAGATGCAAGCATTTTTTCGGGCCCATGAAGCTCAACCACCCTTTTCTGCGGAAGATTTGGCTCCATTTCGACAATCCCTGGAACGTTTTATACCATCACATGGCATGACTGCAGACTGGAGCATCCGCATGGACCAACCCATGCACCTTGAGATTATGGCGGCCATTTCAAGAATTATGCAAGACAAAGACAATTCCCTGTTTGATATGTTACGACATGGAGCTCCTACAGGAATCCAATCGGATATCCCACCTTCAAACATTTTTCCTCGTGCAGAAGACAAAGCAGATGATTCCATCCCTTTATCCATCCACATGACTAACTGGCAATCTGCAGAATCAGACTTGGAGACCACTCGTGACTTGGTCAACCAAGAGCTGGAAAAGGGATGGATCTATGAATATCATGGCACCTTGGCAGATGCACAAACCGAATTTGGCGATAAGTTAGCCATTGGACGTCTCGGCCTTGCTCTCAGCGATCATCGCCCTCCCCGCTTGGTAGTTGACTCATCAATCTGCGGCCTAAACAGTCGGTGCACCATCCCGGAGCGCACGACATTGCCGAGTGCATTGGACGTCATGCGGGTATACCCATTGAGGGAAACCCAAGAACAATTGTTGGGATTTTCACTGGACATCAAGGCCGCCCACAAACTTGTTGTCATCCGAACAGAAGAGCGTGGCCTATTGGTCTTTACACTTGACAACAAGATCTATTTTTACAAAGTAGCCCCTTTCGGCGCTACCTTCAGCGCGTATCACTGGACACGTGTGGGGAGTTTTATATTGCGGTTTTTCCACCACCTTCTGTGGTGGATCCACGCTGGATTTCTGTACGTCGATGACTACTTATTTCTTTTTCCCCGATCAGTGGCATTGATCATGGCCTGTGAGCTCTGCATAGCTTCACAAATTTTGAACATTCCTATTTCCTGGAGGAAATCTGAATTTGGTGCTCGGATTCACTGGATTGGCTGGCAATTTGAAGTTACATCTGGGTACATAGCCCTACCTCTTGCGAAACTGGAAAAATTGCGCACCTACATCGCACAGATGATACGAACTTCTCGTACATCAAAGAAGGCATTGGAAAAGTTGGTTGGGCTACTGAATTGGGTGACCCAGATTTTTCTGCTCATGCGATGCTGGCTTCCAATATTATACAAGGACCTTTTCCATGTTCCTGCATGTCATTTCAGCATTGACCCAGGCCATTGGCGTACCGTCATGGCTTGTCTGGACAATGATTTGAATTTACCAGTACACCCACAGGCACTGGTATACCTGTGGGCAGCACCTTGTTGGCCGTTCGCCACCAAAACGTTTCCTCCCTGACAGATCTCAACAATATTTATCTTTCTGAAAGACGCACATGGCTTCGTATTCGCGATATGCAATCTTCAAAGCGATGTTTATCATCAGACTCCATACGGATTCTGCATATGTTTTCAGCCTGGTTGCAGTCACTCTCCCTGGTGAAATGTCTCAGGCCAAAACAACTTTGGACTGGCGAATGCGCAGCTGATGCATGTGCTCATGGCGATACTTGCCAAATTGGCGGATTCATTCGTTTTCCTTCTGGCACAACAATTTGGTTTAGTGAAACCTTTTCCTCTGCAAAGTTTGAATCCATGCATATTCCTGTCAGCAAAGAAATGCAGAAATGTATCGCGTGTTTTGAGACCTTGGCACAAATTGCAATACTTTTTATTTTCAGCCGCAGCTCCCCTGGATTTCGATATCCATTACGTATACCTTCCTTGACTGAGAACACTGGAGCAGAAGCTGGCGGCAACAAATTATTTTTGATGACATCTCCGATGAACCTTTTTCTCGAAAAGCTGACTCTTTTATGCACCTTCTCCGGCATGGAACTAGACCTTTCTCATATTTCTGGCGAACGAAATGAAGAAGCAGATGCACTGAGTAGGTGGGACGACTCCACCCCACCACCTTTTCAACACCTGTTACAAAATCGATTTCCACTTACGCTGGAACAGTTATGGCATCCCGAGACCTCAGTTGCGGTATATCCTCCAGAGACCTTTTTAGCTTGGCAACTCCCATAGAAACCGGACTGGGTATAACTTTTACCAATCCACTCATCCTTCTATTTTTTCGACTGCTGGAATCCAACACATATATTGGGGCGTAATTGGCGTTTGTATCCCACCAGCCTGATAGATGAATTGGCAGAAAATAACCATCAGCCTGGCGTTCACATATTTGAACACAAAATGTGGTTCAAATGGATCCAAAGACAATTAACAATTCTGGCAGTCGAAAAAGATATGAATATAAAGTGCGGTCTGTCAGAGTTCCATCGTTTTGCGGTATTGCGTTTATGTTTTTGGGTTTTGATTTATTTGAATAATAAATTAAACTTATATAGGGGAATGTCTACTTGAGCCAGAACGTGTAGTGTACTTGTTCACTAATGTTTTGGGAATGTGGAATTTCATCCTATGATGGGCTACATTTTGGCTCAAGTTGACATTCCCTGCTTGAAGGGATTTTTGTTTTCCCCCCCACCCTCACCATTTATATTAGGGGATTTCGGGGACCATCTAACCTACACTCCCCTTTTTTCTATACCCGGTCTGGTTTTTCAACTGCGTACGTTTCACATCATCGGCGTTCACTTTAAGTGAACCTATTGCAGCGACGACAGCTTCATTCGATTTCATCCCTTTTTTCTTGGCCAAACATTGGCTACCTGATGGGCAGAAAATAACCATCAGCCTGGCGTTCACATATTTGAACACAAAATGTGGTTCAAATGGATCCAAAGACAATTAACAATTCTGGCAGTCGAAAAAGATATGAATATAAAGTGCGGTCTGTGAGAGTTCCATCGTTTTGCGGTATTGCGTTTATGTTTTTGGGTTTTGATTTATTTGAATAATAAATTAAACTTATATAGGGGAATGTCTACTTGAGCCAGAACCGAGCAGGTCTGGTATTTAATTTAAATATAAAATATCAATAATATATCTGCAACATCTATCTGTCACCATGTTCATGTTATGTCATGATTATCATGCATAATGTCATTCCATTTCAATCCTCATTCCAAATGCTGGCGATGCCAGTGGGTGTGAAGGGGTGACAATTCGGGATCAATGTCTCACCCTATCTCCCATGGTGGTCCATGTCTGTGCAAACCAGAAGCATAGGCTTCCTCTGGGACAGCTGCTGCGTATGCCGCTTCCGCCTCTTTCCAAAGGCACGGCTGCAGCTTGGGACATTTGTGCAGAAAGTGATCTGGAGAAAGATTCAGCTCCAAGGAAGAATTTGAGCCCAACTCCTGAGGCGCGCAGGGATGGGAACACAGGAAACACGGGGCAATGCAAAGCATTTTGATAAAGTAGAATTTCATACAAATTGACACTTGTTCCCATTGAAGATGGATGAAGACTATCCAGGCGAACTTTTCTTAGACAATACTTGGTATTGACTTGATCCATGTTGAAAATGGTTTGGGGGTCCTACTTAGTTCATAATCAGTACATATTATAATATATATATATATACATTATTTCATATATCAATATTAAAGGCTATTGACTATTACCTGATATATTCCGTGTGTTTCATTGCAAAGGCTTCAGCAGCCACTCTCCCGTCTCCCACTTCCACATGGCACACCATGGCACACCATGGCACACACCCCACCCATCCTGGATCTGCAGTTGCACCATAGGAGACATGGCTTTGTGGTCTGCATGGCCAAAGAAGTAGATCTCGTCAAAGAAAGCCTCCCCAGCATCGTTGACTGCGAGGACCCGGTCGCCAACTTGCAGCTGGTGCATCTTCTTCTTGCCATCTGGCGTCTCAACCGTTGCATCTTCCGGGAAGCATCCAGATGGGCAGTGGTCCTGCAGATTGTGAAAGATCCGCTCATATGTGTTTCCCGTTGGCATGCATTTGCAAACGCCTCCTTCAAAATCAACGCCTGGCAATCCAAAACCAAACTCCACGGTTTCACCAATGTATTGCCCTTGCAGGTTGGTAATGACGGAACCGCCCACGCAAAGGATGAAGCAAGCACTTCCTCCCACATAGGCAGAATCGCCCAGCATGTCATTGTAGCTCTTGAAAAAGCCACGGGCAACACTGGCCTCCACCTCCAAGGGACCGTCCATGTCAAAACCAAAATCCCAGTTGAGGCACACTTCTTTAACGTTGGCGGTCTTGAAGTAGCAGGTCTTGTCTTGCCAACCATTGAAACCACCAGCTGCGAGGCTGACAGACCCCGAGACAGTGATGGAAGCCCCAGCCGCAACACCCAACTCCCAGTTGTAGGCCTTTCCACTGCAACAACTTCTCTGGTTCTCATTGAGGCGCCGGCGGCGTGGGCTTTTGGCTGAAACGCTGGTCTCCAGATCGTCGAGTTCATGCACGAGTTGCAAGGCGCTGAAAGGCTTGCGCTTGCTGGCAAAGAGCTTTGCCGTTTCAGAGGTGTTCCCGTGCTTTGCAAGCACCACGTGCGATGCCCGGTGGAACATCTGCACTGCCATGGCGCGCTTCGTACCAGCCATTGGGTCAAAGGTCTTTCCGCTGGGGTCTGGAAGAGGCAGGCCCATCACAGGACAGGCAACGGCAAAGAAGCTGGAGAGGCGCTTGTAGTGACCCCACTTTGCAGCCATGATCCGCTCCAGGATCAAGCGACACTCCTCGGCACCAGCGCCAAACATTGTCTCCCTTCCATCCTCTTCCTCGTCCAGCTTTTTATCCTCAAGAGCGCGCATGACAGCTCATGCTTAAACACACGCTCACTGCACTTTGGAGAGTTTCCTTTTTGGATTAATGTTGACCTACGATTTTTAAGCACCCCTTAAATAAAGCTAATTTTTCAAAAAAAAAATATTAAATGACCCCTAAATAAAGCTAAATGTTTTTGGCCCTTAACCCAGATTTGCCCAGATGGGGCTGACCAAAACCTTTATTCAAAAATGATAGCTGGAAATTGTCAAGAATGATGGATGCTCTTTCTATTCAAAACCTTTACTTAAACTTATCCAAAATCAACTCCAAATCAACTCATCAAGGGTACCTCCCATGAGGTGCCTTAGCACCAATTAGAGTTTGACCCTGAATAAAGCTACTGAGCTTCCCCCTCCCGCTGATCAAGAAACGAATACTAAATCAATACTAAATCAATACTAAATCCATGAATCCATGACATGAATACTAAATCAATACTAAATCCATGATATGAATGCTAAACCAATACTAAATCCATGAGATGAATACTAAATCAATACTAAATCCATGACATGAATACTAAATCAATACTAAATCCATGATATGAATACTAGATCAATACTAAATCCATGACATGAATACTAAATCAATACTAAATCCATGACATGAGTACTAGATCAATACTAAGTCCATGACATGAGTACTAGATCAATACTAAAACAATTGCTGGATTCCTTTTTTTTGAAATTGCATTTTATGTATTCGTTTTCATTTGTGGTAATGTAAAACCTTTACATACAAACAAGTTTGATGGTGGCTTTAAGTTTATTTAGGGGAAAGAGAGGGGGGGGCCTATTTATAAATCATAGGTGGACATTTTACATGACACATGATGATACCAGAAAGAACAGGACCAGTAATCCAGCATCATCAAAATACAATTTTGAAACTGGGGTCCTCCAAACAAACTGTCATGAAGGCCTCATCGAAGTGCTTCTCATAGACAATCCTGGGCCAGTGGTGCGCAACTCCTGCATACTTCAAGTGTTCATGACTCACATCCTCCACGAATCTCATGCACTCGGGTTCTTCATCAATTGGGAGAACCAGGTCAACGAAAACGGCGCAGAAGTCCTCATCGGTTTTGAAAGAATCTTCGCCCAAGATGTTCAGCTGGATGTCCATCTGGTGGACAGCCCGGTCACACTCAGCCGCCAGTTTGCTTGGGTCAACCTGCCATCATCTGCCATCACAAGATCTAGCAAGTCCACATGAGTCACCCTGGGACCCTGGGGCCCTACCTACATATTGATATTTAATGATGTCCATCCCCAAGAGTTAATAGGCAACTTCTCCTCGCCCAAGTTGGTTTTGATGGCGCGTAACCGGATTGAACAATGTATGGAGTACGACAATGTTTGGACGTGCTTTTTGGTAGTTCCACCATGTTCTATCTCCCCAACCTATTTATACCACAGGTTGTGACATGAAGCCGTCTGCAAACATCCCCCAAATGCTCAAGATGCATGACCCAGTGAATTTGGATTCATTGGCGGAACAAGAAGCCAAGCCTTTGTCAAGACAGAGTTCTTACCATCAAAGGTGCCCTTCTTGCAGGCAGCGCCAAGCTTTTCGGTTTGCTCTGCAGCCCCATGCTTGCCGTCACCATTGGCCTTCACAAACTTGAGGCAACCACGGTAGAACATGGCATCAAAGCCATGCGATTGGTCCAGGTCGTCTTTCATACCATCAACTCTTTGCCGATTCATCTCCCGGCAAGTCATATTGTTTCGGCGAGCGATGAGCTTCGCTGCCGCATCCGACTGGTTTGTGAAGTCGTGTGTCTTCATGGCCGCAGCAGCCGCTGCCAACATCAAGAGTGCCACGGCCGCCATTTCGACTTGTTTCAATTGCTTCAATTGCTTCAATAAACGAACGGAAAGCCAAAGGGGGCTTGAGTGAGAAAGAGCTATGGCAGGTATATTCAAACCGTCCAACATGCGTTGAGCATTGAGCAGGACATGTGCACAAAGATTCACTTTCACCTGGCACATCAAAGCTTCGACATCACCCCTGCCTTGAGGAAAAACGCGGCAAACGTGCTGTTGCATAGCAATTGCACCGCCCGGATCTCTCGAATAACAAAGCATGTCAGACTGTCAGAACCAAAAAACAAAGAATGTCAGATACGAACAAATTGAGTTTTGACTTTGCAAGTTAACGTGTACAGGACTGTACGATAGTTTGGTGTGCAATAAATTGAAAATTATGGTCCGGGACATCATTCTTGAGTCATGGTGGTGCCTTTTGCTTTGCTTACACTCATGTGATGAATATTCGTAAATGATCACTGCATTACTAAATACTAAACTATCATGCATGTCCAAACTAGCATTTCTCTGCTCTTCATGCGCACTCTGAAGCTATGATCTGATCTGTCGTGCGGGCAGCATGCTGCCTCCAAGCAGAATGTGCAAACCTCAATGGTTCAATTCTCGTCAGATCTTATCACTGGACAGCAGCTACTGTCATGATTGAAAACAATTGAAAAAAGCCCAGGCCAAGGGGCCAAAGGCAGGGCAACCGTCCCTTTTTTATCCTTTTTCTTCATCGATGCTCTGGCGTGAAGTCATTCACTTGTCCAAGGACAGGCTGGAGGACTCATGACTTCGCAGGCGATTTTTCTGCACCAAGCTCTTTGCACTTGTTGCCGTCTGGTTTTCGCTCCCCCCACACGGCAAGACTTCCTTGCAAGTTTCACCTCCCCTCGGGTTCATTCCACATGTCTCCATATGAGAATGAGTGGCAGAACGGTTGCCGGTCATGGTGCATGTCACGCACGTATTGCAATACTCCGTGCAGACCGTCGAGGAGCAAATAGCTGCGAGAGCTTCATCCACGGAGGTATAGACTTTATCTTCGCCACACCCTTGCAAGTAGACGGAAGTTGCGAAAACGCCGAGCAGCACGACCTACACAGGACCCAAGTGAAATTGACTGGACAGCTTGTGCATGAGACGGCTGATGAGAGTTCTCGTTTTTCCCTTTCCAGACAACAGCTTTGGACTGTCGATTGGAGCTTCTGCTGACAAACACAAGCGAAACACGAAGTCTTCTTTCAGCTTGCAAAAATCAAACGCTGGCTATCGATATTATCTCTCTATGGTTACCTGATAACATCCTTGAGCTACCTTCACAGCTTCAGTGGCACCTTGAAGAACTTCATTTTTGGCGATTCGAATGGCTCTGCACTTTCAGGGCTAAGTGGCTAAGCGCTTGGGGAAGCAAGCAGCGGAGTTTTCATGTTTGCCCACTCAGTCCCTGTATTGCACCATCAGCTCAACACAAAACAAATAAGCGTGCTAAGTTCCGGGACATGACAACACGCGATAATATCATATCTAAGAAACTTGCGCCATGCATGGGGCAGTTTCTACTGCTACTAGTATAGGACTTACCTGACAATATCAATGTGTGGCATCATTATCGGACACATGAAACTTGAACATGAATCAACATGAACTTGTTCATCTTGCTTCGCCATAAATCATGTTGCAGCTTAAAACCAAAGTATTGTTCAAAAACATGCCAGCGGACCGAAAATCGTGCTCGTAAAACGCACGTTTTTGTAAACGCACGTTCGGAGGTCATGGGGTGGGGTGGGGGGGGCATGTTCACGTTCCTTGTACTTCGTGCGTTATATGTTGCTACGCTGCAGAGAGCTCTGGTGTTGTTGCTACGCTGTGTACACGTAGGGGTGGGGTGGTGGGGGGCATGTTAAATTCCTTGTACTTCGTACGTTATATGTTGCTACGCTGCAGAGATCTCTGGTGTTGCTGCTACGCTGTGTACACGAAGGGGTGGGGTGGGGGGGGCTTGTCATTGTTAACGTTCCTTGTACTTCGTACGTTACATGTTGCTACGCTGCAGACATCTCTGGTGTTGTTGCTACGCTGTGTGCACGAAGGGGTGGGGTCGGGGGTGCTTGTCATTGTGAACGTTCATTGTACTTCGTACGTTATATGTTGCTACGCTGCAGACATCTCTGGTGTTGTTGCTACAAGCGGACGCCCTTACTTACCCCATCCACCTAGTAGTTGCCCCATCCGCAAGGCACACCGAGTTACCCCAGGGCAAACAATAGTTACCCCAGGTTTCAAATCCCCAAGGCACAGCGGCTCAGATGCATCATGTTTTGAAGTCGTTGCAAACTTTGAATCATGTCCCTAGCTTGCATTTAGCTATGCCCGGAATCAGAAAATGGGAAGGTGCGACCTGTCAACTCGGAGTCAAATCCCAATGGCACACCGCCAAAAGCCATTCCAGGCCAAAAGCTTAGCCAAGCATTGAAACAGCATCGCCAGCTTGCGTTCTGGTATTTCCAAAAGAAACAAAATAAAGGGTCTCCATTCTCATAAACGCTAAAATCCCAATGGCACACTTGCAGGGGAGTGGAAGACTTTCACGTAGTCGTGACAATCTTGGAATCATTTAGCTATGCCCGGAATCAGAAAATGGGAAGGTGCGACCTGCCAACTCGGAGTCAAATCCCAATGGCACACCGCCAAAAGCCATTCCAGGCCAAAAGCTTAGCCAAGCATTGAAACAGCATCGCCAGCTTGCGGCTCTGGTATCTCAAAAAAAAACAAAATAAAGGGTGTCCATTCTCAAAAAAAACTAAAATCCCAATGGCACACTTGCAGGAGAGTGGAAGACTTTCACGAAGTCGTTGCGAACTTTGAATCATGTCCCTAGTTGCATTTAGCTATTCTAGGAATCAGAAAATGGGAAGGTGCGACCTGTCAACTCGGAGTCAAATCCCAATGGCACACCGCCAAAAGCAATTCCAGGTCAAAAGCTTAGCCAAGCATTGAAACAGCATCGCCAGCTTGCGTTCTGGTATTTCCCAAAAAAACAAAATAAATAAAGGGTGTCCATTCTCAAAAAAAACTAAAATCCCAATGGCACACTTGCAGGAGAGTGGAAGACTTTCACGAAGTCGTTGCAAACTTTGAATCATGTCCCTAGTTGCATTTAGCTATGCCCGGAATCAGAATACGGGAAGATACGACCTGTCAACTTGGAGTCAAATCCCAATGGCACACCGCCAAAAGCAATTCCAGGTCAAAAGCTTAGCCAAGCATTGAAACAGCATCACCAGCTTGCGTTCTGGTATGCCCAAAAGAAACAAAATAAAGGGCGTCCATTCTCATGAGAGCCAAAACCCCAATGGCACACTTGCCAGCGGAGTGGATGACTTTCACAAACAAAGTTTGAAATTAATAACATTGAAATCACACCCTGCCCTGCTGTAACGGAATCCGAGACATATGGAATATGGATGTAATACCAGAATCATGACTCTGGAAGGTTTTTGGACGAGGTACCGGACGAGATACCGGACGAGGTACCGGAATTACATTTTGCCATTCCAGCCAGGACCCACCCCACGTATCCCCACGTCAGATCAAAAACCGTAAATGGTAAAAACGATGTGGATAGGTCCGAAACATCCAAGCAATAAGGTCCGGAAGATGAGGTGGAGGAGGATAATGTTGCGGATGATGAGGTGGAGGATGATGTGGAGGATGATGAGGTAGAGGATAACGATGTTTTCAAGGAGGAAGATAATGATGTTGAGGATGATCATGTTGAGGAGGAGGATGAAAAGGATGATAATTTATATTGCGGAAGAGGGGGTGGAGGAGGAGGATGTTGCAGAAAATGAGGTGGAGGATGACGATGTTGAGGATGATGATGTCAAGGGGGAGGACGAGGATGATGCTGAGAATGATGATGTGGAGGAGGAGGAGGAAGATGATGATACTGAGGAGGAGGAGGCGGAGGAGGAGGAAAAGGAGGAGGAGGAGGACCGATCACAAGACCCCCGAGTGTGTACACACTGTGTGGGCAACTCACGTTGCTCCAGGGATTGTTAGGGGGCAAATGGATATAACTTGATATAACTAATGTTTGCCATGTTAAGAATCCCTGCGTGCCTATGCGTTGTGCTGTAAAGATCATACCAAATAACAAATCATGTAGTAATTCATTCCAGTGGTTGTGTCACTTCTTCCGCATGGCACACCGAGATGAGACAACAAAGTGCTATCGGAGACAAGAAAGGGCTTTCACCCAGTACGCTGTGTGCACGAAGGGGTGGGGGGGGCGCCTTGTCATTGTTAACGGTCCTTGTACTTCGTACGCTATATGTTGCTACGCTGCAGAGATCTCTTGTGTTTTTGCTACGCTGTGTGCACGAAGGGGTGGGGTGGGGGGGGCTTGTCATTGTTAACGTTCCTTGTACTTCGTACGTTATATGTTGCTACGCTGCAGAGATCTCTGGTGTTGTTGCTACGCTGTGTGCACGAAGGGGTGGGGTGGGGGGGGCATGTTTAACGTTCCTTGTACTTCGTACGTTATATGTTGCTACGCTGCAGAGATCTCTGGTGTTGTTGCAACGCTGTGTGCACGACGAAGGGGTGGGGTGGGGGCGGCATGCTAACGTTCCTTGTACTTTGTATGTTATATGTCAGAGACCTCTGGTGTTGTTGCTACGCTGTGTACAAGAAGGGGTGGGGTGGGGGGGAATGTTGACGTTCCTTGCAACATCGTAGCACATATACTGGAACAATTGATGCCGCATGGAGTGCTGTCAAAGACTCCATCCCCAATTCATTGTGTTCAAAGAGCAAAGATCTTCTCCTGTATGCGAAATGCTGGCAATGACGATATGTGAATCTACATACTCGGCACTCGGCCCCAGCAAAAGACCATTTCAACGCTGAAGCGTCTGCTTTGAAGAGAGAATCTGTCAAATTGGTCCAATCAAAAGTGTCCAACACCCTCACGAAACGCGGATTTTACCAAATTCTCTCGCGAGAATTTGGCCAAATTTAGCTCATGCAAATCTGCGTTTCCCTGTAGCGAAACCAGGGCTTCGTGTTTTTTGCGACGGTAAGCGGTGTTTTTTGCTACGGTGGCTAGGTTTGGTGTTTTTTGCGTCGGTTACGAGCCGGTGTTTTCTGCGTCGGTTCCTCGGTGTTTCTTGCGACGGCCCCGGGTGTTTATTGCACTGGCAACCGGTGTTTTTTGCGACGGTAGTGTTTTCTGTGGTGTTTTCTGCGACGGTAACCGGGGTATTTTGCGACAGTTGGAGGGCGGCTTACTACTACTACTACTACTATTACTACTACTACTACTGCTGCTACTACTACTACTACTATTACTACTACTATTACTACTACTACTACTACTACTACTACTACTACTACTACTACTAGAAGTACTACTACTATCCATGTCCATCGACTGGCTATACTATCGTGATATGGCTTGGCCCGGAGTGCAATGGTGGCATTGCGCATTGTGCGATCTACTCTGCCAAAAAGGCTCCATGCGCACAAAAGATCACAAAAGTGACCTTCGCACTCGGTGAAAAACCGCGACCTGGTAAATCTGGTGGTCGCGAATACTACTTGAGTATTCCGTGCAATTGACTTTCCTTTTGATCTGGGGGTCAGTACTTGGTTTGTGGCTGCAACGAAGAAGCAGAAGAAGAAGAAGAAGAACCAGAAGAACAACAAGAAGAGTTTTACATTGCAACACAAGAAAAACCAAAAAAACAAGAGTCGCACAGTTCCGCAACAACAACAACAACAACAACCGCGTTGCGGGGGGATGCGCTGCGCCCTCCCCCCTGCACCCCCCTCCCGCTCTTTGAACTGCTGCCCGTTCGCAGCACGTTACCCAGCAACAAGAACCGCCCAACACTTGGCACGCATTGCGGGGCTCGTTCGCAGCATGTTGGCAGACCATCGCGAAGACCAAGAGTTTATCTAGAAACTTGGCACGCATTGCGGCCGCATTGCGCCTTCCGCTCTTTTACCGGCTGCCCATTCGCAGCACGTTACCTAGCATTCTCTGCCGCGGCAAGGTGGGCGTCACGGGCAGAAGCTGGCCCATGACGACTACCAGTGCGACTACGACGACGCAGGCTGAGCAACAAGTTGCATACGCGCAGTACGTAGCAGCAACAGGAGATGCCAGACGCCTCTTAGCTTCCCACGCAGAAGCATGGTACTGAGCTTCTCTGCCACGGCAAGGCGGACGTCAACAGAGAAGAAAAACATATGTGCGTGGTCGGCGACGCACCCCGCCCTGACGAGGAAGATCAAATTGTACTTCGGGGCAGCAAGGGGTAACAGGCGGAAACACGTTGCGTAG